CAAAGGCTCCTTTCATTCCTTCAATAGATTAACATGGTAAGTCAGCTTTTGTTTAATCTTATCTGGGTGATGGACCACATACGTCACTTGACCCATCTTCCGGATAATGATGTACGACCTGTGCCGCTCACTGTTGAATGAAGGAAGGAGTAGCAGTACCTTCTGATCATAACAGATGTTTTGTGCCCTCTGTGCCTCCTTTAGATTAATCTTGGCCACTTATTTGTATTTGCCAAGTGTTTTCTCATGTCCGGGATGAACTGCACCACAACCCTTTCTTCTGTTTTAATGGCAGGGCACTCCCAGGAGATCCAAGGGTCCTTGAACAATCCGGCCATTGAGCAGTTCAAATGGGTAGATGCTTGAGGAGAACCGGAGAAATTGTAGCCAGCAATGTCAGTCTTTTCCTGTATCCAACATAAACTTTTGTGGCATCCGCTTCAGAGTCTGGTTGAATCTCTCCACTAGTCCATCGGTCTGCTGATGGTAAGGTGTTGATTTCAGAGCGGTGATGCCAAGCTGAGTGTGGAACTGCTACATTAGACAAGAGGTTAAATTGGTACCTTGGTCCGTTAGGATTTCATCTGGTATTTCCATTCTATAAAACAGTTCCGCCAGAGCATGGACTATTGTGGAAGTGGTGATGGCACGCAGCGGAAAAGCTCCTGGATACCGGGTGGCATAATCACAGAGAACCAAAATGTATTGATGTCCTAGGCTGCTCTTTATCAAAGGTCCCACAATGTCCATGACAACTCTTCGGAAAGGTGTGGAAATAACTGGGAGTGACTGGAGGAGAGCATGATCTGACCTGTGAGGAGGACATGTTTTCTGACAGGTGAGGCATGTCCTGCAAAACCATTGAATGTCTGTGTACACCCCCAGCCAAAAGAAAAGTGAGCTGACCCACCTGTATGTCTTATGCTGACCTAGGTGCCCAGCCCATGGCACAGTATGTGCTAGGCGCATTACTGGAGGCCTGCAGCTAATTGGGATCACAAGGCGTTTGTGGCTATAATTTTTCATAAAGTATGCCATTTTCAATTAAAAAATCACTTTGTCGTACAAAGGCTCACAGGTGTTTTCTTGTTTTTGTAACTCAGCAATGTTACCAGGTATCTCCCACATTCTCTCTGTTTTTAAACCTTGGGCAGTTTATTCACTTATACCTGGTTGTTTTTCATAGCGTTGTTGCTGCCTAGACTTATTTGGACCCTTGGTGCTGCCTTGATATACACTATCATCAAAGTCAGGGAAAGATAGCATACCAGCTTTTGATTGGGCTCTGGTGATTACAGGGCCAGAAACACAGTTATCATCCTTGATATTATCTTCCACATCAACAACATCCTTGTTAACAGTATTAGCATTATCAACAGTACCCCTATCACGCTCAGATCCTCCCCCTTGAAGCAAATAAATTAGCGCAGGTAAGTTCCTCCCCCCAAAAAGGTCTAAAGGTACATTGTTTACCATGACAGACAGACTTGACAGGCCCAAGTAAGTAGTGAGGGTCTCCTTGGAGCTGGTGTTCAACTCCCACCTCAAGGTAAGCTTCTCCCAGATTCTGGGTGAGACATGGAGTCTGAGTTGATTATCTTTTCTTCCACTATTGTCAATGCAGTCACTTGTAGCTGTTTCTGTTAGGTCCGCGGTGCCTGCCGTGGTGACAATCCTTGAAGTCGGTGGATGACACCACCGTCCCGTCACGCCCGGTTGGCTTGTGGGACTCCTGAGGCAGCAAGCAGGTTTCGTGAGGCCAAGTGTACTGCTGCCTGGGCTATGCAGGGGCAAAACTCGGGAACTAGGAGGAGTTTAGAGAAGCCATGGAGAAAGACTTGCCTCAAAGCGATTCTGGTAAACCATCTGGCACCTGTAGAGCAGAAAGGAATGTTTTTTCTAACACTGCTTTCAGAGGGAGTGGGGAGGTACTGACCCTGAAAGAGGACTTAGTTCCCTCCATTAAAGACATTTTATCTAAGCGCTGTGTGTCCCGAGCCCCTTAACATCATCAATGACCCCTCAAACCCCCAACATGGATTGTTCTCCCTGCTACCCTATGGGAAGAGGCTTCACAGCATTTGATGCAGGTCCAGCATATTCTGCAACAGTTTCTTCCCAACTGCTACCAGACAGCTGAACCGTTGAGGAAACGTTAAATCATGTCACAGACTCTGCATCACACTGATAACACCAAACCAAAACACTGCATATTTGCACAAATATTTAATGCTCTAAACTTCCATATCAATGCATTTTTGCACAATGTTTTTTTTATTCCACACATTTGATCATTGCTGCACTTTATAGAATGGATAGTTAATGTTGTATACACTCTGTGTATACAAAATGACAATAAAAGTTGTCTAAAGTTGTTTACGTCTAGTTGGACAGTGGAAGGAATTCTTTAAAGGAGAAGTCCAGTCAGCAAGGACTAATCAATGGATAATTATCTATACCTAAAACCAATATTCTCACAGAGATTTAAGGAATTTAGCGTTAATCACAAAAAAGAAAATAAAAACAAATTTTCTGCGCGATTACTGAGACTGGGAACAGCCATTTTTGCCCAAATATAGTAACACCTCACTCCTGACATCTTCCAGCTGTGATGTCACGGTGCAGTAAGCCAAAGGCCATTCTCCCTTTACAGGCAAAATCAAGGGTTACTACTTGACACTCCTGCAATCAACAACAATTATTGCAGATATAGTTATATATAGCTATAGTTAAACTGACCATGCCCACATGCATGGCAGTTGGATTTTGTAATACATCGTGCAAAAGTGAAAAAAAAAAAAATTATTATTTCACCTTTGCGATTCATGATCCAGCATGGGTTAATTGTTAGATTGGCAACTTGATGAGGGAGGATTTGCCATTGAACTTCTGGCTAGAGAAAAAAAGACGTAATATGTAGCCAACATTTCAAAGAAGACTGTTTTCAAAATTACTTGGATAATACAGCATTGGGACTTGCTCAACAGCCAATACCGCACCATGACATCACAAACCGGTAGGTGCCTTAAATGTTCTTTGCAGGGTGTCAAGGGTTCATGGGAGTTTGCCCAACTGGTCCACATGTGCTTCATGGACCTAGAGAAGGCATTTGACCAAGTCCCTCATGGTACCTTGTGGCGTGAGCTTCAGGAATAAAGAGTCGGGAGCCCTTAACTAATGGTCATCCGGTCTTTGTACAAGCGGAGGAGGAGTCTGGTCTGCGTTGTTGGCATTAAGTCAGACTTGTTCCCAACGTGTGTTGGATTCAACCAGGGCTGCCCTCTGGTCCTGTTCAGGACCTTTATGGACAGGATTCTTAGGTGCAGCCAAGGGCTGGTGGGGGTCTGGTTTGGGGACAGGCAGATCTCATCCCTAGTTTTCATGGATGATGTGATTCTGTTGGCTCCCTCCTGCCAAGAACCACAGTAGCAACTCTGGCGGTTCGCAGCTGAGTGTGAAGCGGCTAGGAAGAGAATCAGCTCCTCCAAGTCTGAGGCCATGGCCATGTCCCCGGCAGGTTTTGATAAGAGTCTACCTTAAGTGGAGGAGTTTAGGTATCTTGAGGTCCGGTTCACAAGTGAGGTGAAAATAGAATGTGAGATAGATAGATGGACAAGTGCAGCTGCTGCTAAAATGCACTGCACCAGGCTGTTGTAGTGAAAAGAAATCAAGACCAAAATGGCAAAGTTCTCAAAATACTGGTCGGTCTACGTTTCTGCCCTCTCCTATGGTCATGAAATCTTGATCATTACAACTGAAATGACCTTCCTCTGCGGGGTGGCTGGGCATTCCCGTAAAGATAGGGTGTGGAGCTCGGTCATTCGGGAGAGGTTGAGAGTAGAGCCACTTCTCCACAATGAGAGGAGTCAGCTGAGTTGGCTTGGTCATCTTTTTTGGATACGCCCAGGGGGCCTCCACGGGAAGACGCCCAGGAACGTCCCACAGGAAAGAGGCAGAGGGGATGACCCAGGATACGCTGGAAGGACTATGTTCCTTGACTGGCCTTAGAGCACCTCAGGCTCAGATGCCTGGGGACAGGTAAGTCTGGAAGTTTCTACTAACACTACTACCCCTGCGAACTGGTCCTGGATAAAGTGGGAGACAACAAGTTCAATCAGTACAGTTTTTCAGTAAATAAGCTATATGATATTTCCTTTTATTACTTTCATTAACAGTGGATGATGCATACAGGTGGGAGCCTGAAAACAGCACAGCCTGACTTTCAATTAGTTTATAGAAGGTTCTTTCAATGATCTAATCATTGTCATACCAAAAAAAGTTAAAAATAAGAACCTGTTGAACAAAGCAAAGTATGTGGTCAAGGCATGTGGTTTGAAAGGGGTGTTAAGAAAGCCATTTACGTTAAGAGAGAAATAGCAACCTATGCTGTAACGCAGCATTAGAGCTGATTCCTTCCCACTATCACCTCAACCCTCATCACCATGCAGGTGGTCAAAACACCGCTCCTGCAAGCCAGGCCAATAACAACCCTAACGTCTCCCCATTTCAGAGGCATGGGCCAGTTTCGAGTTAGTTTACAGACCAACAATGACAGATCTGTTTTTAGTTCAATTTGCATGTTTTCTAAGCCATACCAAGGCTTTTGTTGGGCTAATCTATGAAAAAATTCTGGATTGCATTTTCTTTTTTAATTTCCATTTACAAAACCTTTTCTTTCTTTTTAACAATGATGGACCAACTTTTACTCCCTATACCAGCTCATTCAAAGATCTGATTGGCTGATGAAGTCAGAGGGGTGATGATGTCAGGAAAATGATCACTTATTTAAATATACAAGGAGTCTGATCTTTTCTCATAATTGTCACCCTCAGAAGATGTGATGCCAAACCAGTGAGGTGTAAGTCCTGTTTTCACAGCATTTACTGGGCATAGACTGATTGAACTGGTGTATTTTCCACTGAAAAGTTTGTTTTTAATACATGCTCTGCTGGTATTTGATGACTCAGGACTGATGTGTTTGTGCTGCTTTTTCAGACACAATGAATGAGACAGAGGTTCCCAGCATGATCAGGATCCATTTATCCATCAGAATTCTGCTGAGTGTCCTGCCGTGCCTCCTTTTCTTGTCTGTTAACAGCATCATGCTGTTTGCCCTGCTGAAAAAGCCTCTCTTTCTAGAGTCCCCCCGTTACCTCCTGTTCGGAAACCTGCTTCTCTCTGACTCCCTCCAGGTCCTCCTGACAACGCTGCTCTATGTATTTGCTCTGACCAGGGTCAAAATGATCACTCTGTCCTGCGTTATTGTCACCCAGCTCACCACCATCACAGTGAGGATGTCCCCCCTCAGCCTTGCTCTCATGTCGTTGGAGAGATACGTCGCAATTTGTTTCCCTCTAAAGCATGCCACCATTGCCACCACCAAGGCGACGCGGGTGGCTATCGCTGTCATGTGGACTCTGGCCTGTTTAGACTCTTTCATTCAACCTTTTCTGTTTTTTAAACTCAGTAACAGAGACCTCAATGTTCAGCTGATCTGTGAGAGGAAAAGCATATATCAGCTGCATGTTTATGTGGTTTTAAACCAGGTTTTCACCATCATCAATTTCATGCTGGTGACCCTTGTTATCATTTACACTTATGTTGGGATAATGGTGGCTGTGAGGTTCAGCTCCTCCTGTGCTTACAGGGCCAAGACGGCTCCTAAAACCGTCCTCCTGCATGCTCTCCAGCTATGTCTCTACCTCATCTCCACTCTCTTTAACATGATTAACTCCAGTGAGCTCTTCAACCTGGACCCGGCTGTTGCACTCCAAGTCCGGCCTGCAATCTTCTTAGTTTTAATAATTTTCCCCAGATTTTTGAGTCCACTCATTTACAGCCTTAGAGATCAGACACTGAGACAAACCTTCAAATACTATTTCACCTTTGGTAATAAATCAGTAGGGCCCTATAAGTCTTAATTGTTTGATTGACATAAAGATGATCTCCCAACAGAAAGAGTATTTTTTCCTTAGATTAAAATACTTGTTTATTATGCACTTAAAATAAGCCAATAGAGTTGTGTTTGCTCTTATTTTAAACTAAAATCACATTATTGCTTTGACAATTACCCTTATTTCAAGACAAGTTGACTCAGTATTGTAATGCATGCTTTATAAGGTTTGAACTTGTATGTTTGCTGTTTATGATACAGGAAGAAAATGTGCTTTAAAACTTTTTTTTATGTTAAAAAGGTTTCATTTGAATTCACAACAGTTCATTTATACAGAACCACCAAATGGATTATTTGCTCTGACGTTTGGTCCAAATCATCTTTAAGTGATATTTAAAAAGAAAAAAAGCTGCAGATGTTGCTCTAAATGTGTGTTTAAGAACAAATGTTGCTAAACTGCATAATCGGCTTTCTTGACATGTTTATGTTTCCATAGATTTGAGAGGGTAAGAGATTTTTCCAATGGTATAAGATGAATAATGTTTGGAATAAGAAAAAATAACTCTTTTATCTTATTTCAAATGCATCATATCCAATTTTCTAATCATAAGGTTAAAACCACTCATTCTATCGGAGGATCTTATTTACTTGCTCAAATTAAGGCTAGATGCTCTGATGTTAAGAAATTTTTACTTATCTGTAGATCAGTTTTTGCACTGTGGTTATAGTTGAAGCATAAATTACAAATTACGATCTGAAAAGAAGTAAAATTATTTGAAAATAAGTCTAAGATAATCTGTACTGGTATTAATACTTTAAATGGAAGATTTGATAATTGATTATGCATTTAGAAAAGTTGTTGTTTTTTAGTTTACACATTATTTATGTTGTAACTTTAACTTTGGTAAATTACTACATTTGCTCAAATCAGCAGAACATGTCTATTTCAGTCATAGTAATTTTTTTGTGTATTAGGTGTATTTTTCTCTCAATTTGAGCAGAAACATATATATTTTTTGCCATCTTTTATTGTGATGTGCACCAGTAAACTTTGCAGCTAATAACTCACACACTGCAAACCTTGAAATGTGAGAAAATACATTTTTATTATAAAAATCAAATATTAAACATTTGTATTATCTCTTGTTTTGAGCTGGTAAAAAATGTACAGATGGAATACAATAGTTTATATTTAAAATAAGAAAGAAAGAAGCCCTATTATCTTATTTAAAGTCCATAATATCCAATGATCTTAAATTAAAAATAAAAATACCCTTCCATCACCATTTAATCTTATTCACCTGCTCATATTAACCACTTATTTTAATATTGATTTTAGCAGTGAACCTCAAGTTTTTACTTATACTTTTTCTCAGTTTGCAACGTTCTGCATTTTGTCCCCAAATGTAATAAGAATCATTCGGGCCAAACATTTAAATCTTACTCTCTGGGGTCTACAGGACAATTCTAAGAAATTAAGTCCTTTTTCTGTTAAGGCGTTTTACAAACCATTATCTGTCTTTTAAGGTTTGCTTTTGGACTTTCTCTCCCTCTGAGACCTTTTAGTCCATAGATGGATCCAGAAGTTTGGTTCACCTGTGTCTGTTTAACTACTATGTTTGAATATGTTTTTGTTGTATGACTTGTTAAAAAGGTAGAATATTAAAAATGAACCAAAATCAAAATTTGTTTTATGGGCTAATGACTGTGCTGGTTCAGTTAAAGGTATAGTTGAGGATTTTCTTTTTCAGGTTGGATCATCTAAATAAGTGGTCCTCCTAATTGTCAATCATTCTGGTGATATGTTTACGTAAGGCCGTCCTATGTGTTCGTCCCGTCAGATATGTGGTGAGCTATTGTTTCAGACAGTCATTGAAGCTCACCTTTCTCACTGTGTTTCTTTGAAAATGACACAGTATTTTGTCACATTTATTTCAAAACGCCTGCAAGCAAAATAAACATACTGACATGAATGTTTATCTACTTCTGTGCATGGTTTATCTAAAGGCTGATTTATACTTAGATGCAGAGACGTCCCCACCCCCTCCGCAGACATTTTGCTGCACCTTTCCAAAATTGTAGGTGACCGCAGACAGTGCGCAGACAGGAGGCATCTGATTGGTCAAATCTACATCCGCTCTACACTATACGTATTTCCTGTTTGCTAACTTACCAGCTTGTTTTGTTTGTATGACCGCCATTATGGAAAACGAGTCATGAAATTGGACCAGCTAGAAGAGCACGGTGTGCGAGAATGGTGGGACCCTTTTTCCACTTGAATCCCCGCTATTTTTTGGTCCTTATGTCCCTCCATTGTCAGACAAACTTGCCCCCACTTCCTTACCGCCTCTGCCGTATCTAGACCTACAGCTAGTTCGTGATTGTTACTATTACGTTGTGGCATGGAATAACACAGCGCAGACCACGCTTCAAAATAAACATAAATCAAAAATGTCTGCGTCATACCTACGGCAAGCTCACTGTGACACACTGCTGCAGGAGTATAACCAGCCCTTAACACCGCAAAACGAAATCACACATGCGCGAGAAACCGCCGCTTTGAGATGAGAAAAATCCCTCTCCACGTCCCTCAGCTCCTCCCAGGTATGTTCGGGATCATGCTAGGGATCTCACCGCGCGCATGATTATCTATCCAGTGGTCATGGTCGAGGATGGGTGTGCTCTCAAAAGCCTCTCTGCCCTCGGGCTGATTTTCATGCAGTGTGAAGCAAAATGTGTTTTGACATGTTGAGCAGAGACAAACTGAAAGAGAAGAGACTCTTCTGTAAGCATCCTCCTGATTGGTCCCTGCAGACACCATCACACGGGAAGTAAGGCTGATTTATACTTTGAAACTAGGTCGTCTGCGTAGGTGTCGCAGTGAACGCGAAGACGTCCCCGCCCCCTCAGCAGACACTCTGCTGCCCCTCTTCCAAATTGTATGTGACCGCAGACAGTGCCGAAGACAAGAGGCCTCTGATTGGTCAATTCTACAAACCGCTTGCCGGCTTGCTTTGTTTGTATGATCGCAATTGCAGAAAACAACTTGTGAAGTTGGACCGGCTAGAAGATCGAGGTTCTTTTTCGCCCGCATGTCTCTCCGTTGTCACACAAACTTGCCCCCACTTCCTCACTGACTCGGCCGTATCTAGACCCACAGCTGGTTCCTGATTGTACCTCTTGCGTTGTGGCGTGGCACAGACCACGCTTCAAACTCTGGCATAAATCAAAGATTTCTGCGTCAACCTCACTGCGACACACTGCTGCTGGGAGTATAACCAGCCCTGTAGTGTCAGGAAGCCTTTGAATGATGCTTGCCACTTACTCCATGTACAGCAAACGTTGGAGAAGCCTCCGCCACTGTCCCGCCTCCAGCTGTCAGTCAAATAATTTAAACATAGTTTTACTAATATCTGTAATGTCCAGCAGACCAATAGAAATGCATCTCTTCTAGAGGACCAACTCTACAAAATAAAACAAGATTTGAAAAGAATGCTTTGTGTAAACCTCAATCTGAAACAGAAATATTTGGAAAAAAACAATCACATTTGAAAATTAAATCTGTAAAAACAAGTCGACAAATAGATGTAGTATAAAGTAACCATCGTTCCTTTTTTTGAAAATTAAAAATAAAGAATTTGAAAAACAAAGTCAGATTTTAAAAAAGCAAAGTTACTCTTAACAACTTTTTTCAATTCAGAAGTTTTGCAAAGCATTGCAGTTTTTAAAATGTCTGTTTACAAAACTTTTTCTTTGCTTGGAACAATAATGGAACAAAATTCACTCCATACTGACGGAAAAGTTCTTGGTAAAATCGAGGAAATATTCACCTCTTGATAAAATCCTCCTCCAGAGAACCAGAAATATGCCTGATTATCTAAGGGTCAGAGCTAACAGCTGTTAGCTTTGGGTCCCATGACCCATTCAGAGATGGATCACAACCTCTGAGGTCACAGAGGACAGTCTATGAGGAGAGCAGCACAGAGGAGCATCGAATACTCAACAGGAAATGAAGATGGCGCAAATAATTAAATAATATTTCAAATTAAAGGTCACGCAGCATTGCTTTAAAAATCTTGTTATGTTTCTAGGTATAGCTCTCGATAAATGTTGTGATAGAATATTTTAAAACATTTTATGTATATTTGTGTTTAATACTGTTGATAATGTATTCCAACATAATCCATTTCCACAATGTTGACACAGCAGATCATGGAGTTGCTGGGAGGAACGGACTGGGCAGTGAAGTCCTTAGTTGAGACAAATGGAACCCAGGAGGGAAATGCTGGACTCTTCTTCTTAGGGACAGAGTGGACACGATTTTCAGTAAGACTTGAATTCGTACATCCAGCAGAAACACGTGTTCCCCATTTTAAACCTGCTAAGGCCTCAGATAAATCCTGCGATGACTCCCACAAATAAAAACGTTTGGCTCTTGGACTAGTTTACCTTAAATGATGCGTCACATGGTTCAAAGTGTAACATTTTTGAAGCAATGAAATGCTGGAAACTGATATAGAAATAAAAACATAAATATTTTGTACAGCCTTTTATTCATGTGACAGGGTTTATAAGACATTTTAAATACAGCTTATTGCAGAACACTGAAAGTTACTCTTTAAACATTTAACTTTAAAAAGGAAAAATGTTTTGGAGATTATTTGACTTGAATGAGTGACATGATAGAAAAAAAAACAGGGAAGCAAGAACTACAACCTCTTCACACACTACAGTGCACTCCGTTCTAGTTCTATGTTTGTATTAGCAGTGAAATGCATCCACAGAAGGTCCTTGCTTATAATGAGAAATGAAACATTGATAAGTCTGAGTCGATATTTTCACAAAACACATACAAAATGATCTGAAGACCAAAGAGAAGAGATTCTTATAATGCACAAAGAAAGAAAAACTAAAAATATCAAAATAACTGTATAAATGTTTGTTCTGATGTTTTAACTTATTTTATGTTTTAATCTTTTCTTCTTATATAAGTACAGCACTTTGTTGCAGCCACAGCTGTTTTAAATAGCTTTTTAAACCAATGGAGCAGAAAATGCAAATAGAAGTAAACAAAAACTAAATTAATTTTTAGAAAACAACT